AATTACTCTTGCAATATTTTATTTTACTCAAGTCAAATACTATGATTTGATTAATTGAAAATTCACCTACTTTAAAAAAGGTCAATAGCAAATTTCAGTAATTTTTAAACCTTTATGCATTATCCATGTATAAAATAATTTTTACTTTCAGGAAAGGTAAAATAAGTTTCATGAAAAATATCGTAAAAAGAACACGGCATTATTTAAATCTATTCGTCTAATTTCACCGAATAAATATTTGCAAAACAAAATCATCCTATTTTCAAGCGTAAAATATTTTAGTTCTTGGCAATTAAAACATTTAAATTTAGAATTGTAATCGCAGCAAACGGCCTGGATTTTTTTGCACATTTGCGGGACCATTAAAAACGGCGGCTGCCAAGATATCTGCAGACCACTATTACTTACATTCGCACTTTTCTCTAGCTCAGCCTCATTAACCCGCTTATCTTTATTTTGGCCGGCGTGAATTTTTCCATAGCAGCAGCTTTTTGCAACCTTTGTGCATTTCTATCTCTTTATATCTCACGTTAACCAAAGGAAGCGGCACCATTGTACGGAATATAATCATGCAAGAGGCAAAATAACCCGGCCTTTTTGCACACACAGATGAGAGAGACAGACAGAGAGCCAAAGGCGGAGTGTAAATAATTTTATCTCGGTGCTGCCGCTGTGAAATAGAATCCTCGCTCGTTTTGCGCGCGCGATTACAAAAGAGCCGTGCACTGTATTTCCATTGTGAGTAGGTCGGTGGCTCAAAATCGATCTCGCGCGCTCTGTCGACAAGTAATCGTCCGCCGAGAGTGCTCGCGTGCAATCTCACGTGCAAAAAGAGCATCGCAAGGGCAATTATGGGCACCAAAGTGGCGCTGCATCGCTGCACCGCCGATGATTAGATTTCATAAATGTTTTATACTGCAAATTATTGGGTTTTTTTATATATGTAAACGCTATTTATTTAATGTAAAAGAATATTTAGTCAATAATAATTGTGAATATTTTATTTTTTTACAATTAATTTTTTATTCAAATTTAACGATGAATGCAATAATTTTTTTAAAGTATAAATAATGAAAAGTCATCCATTTTTTTTTTTAATTTCTCTCAACTTTTATATATTTTTTTTGAATATTTTGATCTTGATTTATTTTTAATATTGCAAAGTTTGAATAGGAATATTTATTGATGGGGATTTTGTTTATGTGATGTGCTTTTTGAAATATTTATTACGATTATTATAATCATCGCAAGATTTCGGGAAAAATCAACATTGTAGCATCTCATAATAATGCATGTGTGCAACTCTGGCTTTAATAAAAAACCGAGTGAAATTGATTTACTTCCAGAATTAAATAAATGCGGATTGTTACCATTTTGTAAAGTGTTACTTTTTGCGTTGCGGCTCTTGCAAAACCACAAAGAGACACCATTCGTGTACATGCAGAGTCGTCATCCGCTCGTTTTTGCAGCGGCAAACGGAGTTGAGCTGAGCATTAATTAGCGCACGGCGTAATTAAACCGCAGACTGCATCTCTTCTGATTTAATTACACGACCGCCGTTAACGGAGCGCTACGAGAAGGCAAAAATTGCTTTGAACTCTCCACCTGATGCTGGAAAGAACGAACCCATTTCATTTTTCTACTTTTTCATTATGTTCTGAAGTCATTTTTTTCTCGAAAAAAAAACAACAACAATGATGTCATGTGTTTGTTGCAAGAATTCAATTAGAGGGGAGAAGCGGAGCAGCTTTTCGTGTAGTGCAAAATTGAAATTCACGCGCTGGCGAATAAATCGTCAGCGGCACCATCCTGCCCAGGCAATTTGCATATCAAAATTGGCTGTTATGAAACTCTAAACGACCCCGCCGCACGAAGCGGATGCGCATTTGCTCCCCACTATCAAAAAGCTCGCCCCGGTGATTTGACTGAAATTTTTGAAAATCTGATCGGAATATATGCAAACGTTTTTGACCAAATCCAGTTTGGCGTCTCACGTCGAAATCGATGCTAATCGAGTTACTTGAATTACACTTAATAACAGTACAAGACCCGAAATGATGCGAGCCGGAATTTTTCCCACCGGGCGACTGAGGCAAAAAAAAAAAAAATAATCGCGCGCAACTAACTAAGCCTGGTGTGTGTATATTTAGGCCCCATTAAAATTAATAACACTGCACAAGGAGTGTTTTTGCGGAATTCTCTGGCGAGACGACAAAAAGGGAGCAAAATAACAATAATAACCAAAATAACCCGCGGAGAGCAAACTGCACGTGAAATAATAATTTGACGCGTGTTTTGTTTTCAGCGAAAAGGGAACAAAAGAAGAGAGAAGGCGCCGTAATAATCTAGCTGAACATTTCGCCCAGCACATACTGCGCTCTCGCGCGCGCCGGAATTTAATTACATCTCTCTGCCGGCACATATCGCCCCGGCTGCCAACTCGCGGCACTCCTTGTTCTCCGCCGGATAAATTTATATATATGTACGCGCGAATCTGCGAAGTTTGAAATTCGGAAGAGCAGCTTCTTCCTTCCTTCCTTCTTCTCTTTGGATTAATTTCGCCGGCTTTTGTGCGTGTGCGATTTGTTTCGCGAGCGATTATTGTTATCTCCCTTGAGCAGAGCTTTGATCAGCGACGAACTTGCGGTGAAATTCGAGAAGCAATTTCAAACGTAATCTCATTTGAAGCGAGCGGAGCACACTCGTCATTTGAATGCAACACCATTTAGAGACTCGAAGTTGTATAATTATAGAGATTCACATCATCCTTATTAAGGTATTAATAGTTTCAATTGTGAGAAACAAAAGACAAACTTGAATGTAATTAACTTTATTCTCTTCTTAATTTCGTCTCTTTTGATTCCTATATAAGTGCAATTTTCTCTCAAAGACTTTATTTTATTTTGCAAAATCGTGTGCGAAAGTTTTTCCCTTCAATCGACAACACATTCTTCTCAAATGATATGAAGCTTATATGTATATTCTCTGCCCAGCCAACAGGGGAAGCGCTTGAAAATAAATTTTTATTTTAGCAGCTTTGTAGAAATTAAAGCATTTTTGCATTTGCGCTCGTTAATGACGAGTAATTTTACAGCCGTCGGTCGTAAAAAGCGGCGTTATATAAAAAAGGCTAATCCGGCGCATTTCAGAGTGTGATGTCTTTATTACGCAGATTAGCCTGGAATTTATTGTTCGCAGCCAAATCCTATTAGAGCCCCCCTGAACGGCGGCGACCAGCGGAAAAGGAAGCTGTAAAAGAAAGAGAGTTTTGCAAGAGAGGTGCGAGTGCCGTGCTGAGTATTTTGCAAAATACGATTGCGGGGTGCTTGGGGCTTATGAAATGTACTCGAGTTGGCTGCTCGCCAAATATAATCCAGCGTCAGATTTTTTTATTACTTGGCCCGCCGCACTCGCAAGTGCATGCAAAGCAGCAGTGCCCGGCAGCAGTGGTACTTTGCAGCAGAGCCGACCACATAAAAAAATCGTCGAGTGCCTCAAAAAATAAAACTCCGCACTTTCAAATTGGGAGCCTCTTGGTGCTCTAGAGAGAAGCATTTCCAAAAGGAAGGCAAAAATCAATTTCATATACAAAAAAAATGGCAATAGGAGTGGTACAGGTATATATAAATAATTCATGTGCCTTAATTGATTTAGTTTTGAAGCAGTTTTTATTTGGATTAGCGAAACCCGATATTCTGAGCGTATTTATTTTCATAAATTATATTTTTTGGTGTATGCGCGCGGCTATTTGAATTACAAATCCGTTTTCAATACACGACCGCGGTGTTCGGTATATACGTACGCGCGCCAGATGTTTCCTCTCATTTTTCCCCGGCGAAACTGTTTTAAAATGGAAATTTTCTAAAAACAACCTCGATTTAATTGAAAAGAAAGAAAGAGCGCGGCCGAACGTCCAGCGCCGAACTGCGTGCATGTAAATTTGTGTATGCTAATTAGGCGCGGCGGCCATTTTGCAGGTGTCGGGACGCGGATATTTGCATAAATGCTTCCTCATTTGTCGCGGCCGAAGCTCATCTTACCACGGTAGCGCGACTATTTGAAAAAATTAAAAGCCGCCCATTACGGTGGTTGCTCTTTCTCCGCATAATACAAGAGAGAAGAGCCGCCGGCTATTTCGCTATGCTGTAACGGCGCGTAATAAAGCCACGGGGTCGTAAAATTATAATTATACCACATCCGAGCGAACGAGAAAGAGACCCTTTGCCCTGCACGATATAGAGAGAAAGAAAGAGTCTCAGTGGAAATTATTGTTGCTCCACCAAAAAAGCTCGGCGCTCTCGGTGTCATGATTCTAATCACTTTACGACCAGCACGCTCAAATTGGTGCAGAATAAAAAAGGGAGAAAAACGCCGGAGCCCAACGAGTTGCGAAAAGAGGATTATTGCCCTGTCTCCCCGCAAAGTGTTGCGATAATTTGATGAAAATCTCATATTTTCCATCATTTTAATCATAATTTATATGAGGATTTTATATGACTTTAAATTTTAAAATAATATAATATTTTTGTTACGAAAATCAACAAAGGTGTTTAGTCAAAAGTAATAATTTAAATTTGAAGGAGTTAAAAAGTCACAATAATTTTTTACCCCCCTTTTTCTTATTACCTTTGATACTATTTTATGTTTTTTAATTATAAATTTTAAACATTTACAATCTTGAGAAAAGAACACAGGAAAAATCAAAGTTCTGCAGATACCAAGGTCGCAGACGGGGACTATTAAGATTATAATCCGCACAGAGGCAAATCGGTGTGTTCGAAAACTGGCTGCTTTGGAGTTCGCCGAGATACTCATTTTGCATTATTAACAACAATTCGCGTCAAGCCTCTTTGTGTGTTTACAGCGTTGAGCTCCGGTGGGAGTGAGCTGCCTTAGCTGATAAAACATTCATTCAGGCGAAATTTGATAAATGGCTCAACTGGAAGCGCGCAATAATAATATGAGCCGTCTAAGCATTAAAATATATAAATATAACTCACTATGTAACAATCGGGGTCTTGCAGGCACGTATCCTCCTTGCCGTTGGCGAACTGAAACAAAAAGCACACTCGAGTTAGATTCGATTAATTAATTAATTAAATCGGCTATTAATCACAACAAAAGAAAGAGATTTATGGGTTTGGACCGCGGCGTGAATCTTGCTTGCTGCCGCCGCGCATCAAGAATATATATGAAGAAATCGATTTCCGCAGCCGGGACAGGTTTGTTGGGGAAAAATAATTAAAACATTAATCACAAAGCAGCCTCTTGCCGGACGGCAGCGGCACGCAGGTGTGGCTTCCACAAAACTGAATTAATGACTGCTGATGATGCTTTTGCTATTTAATTAGCAGTGGTGCGGCCATTTTGGCTCGACCTCTGTGTTCTCGATAATGCTCGTATTGACTTTGTGTCATCAGAGTTTCGAGCTGCCGTGACAACAAGTGAATGAGAGCAGGGATTATATTAGCCGAGACTATTTTGCGTTGACACTTCAGGGATTAATCCGATGGATAACTGACACCGCAGCAATTTGCTAGATTAAATTTCAAACGGCCAATACCCATTTTCAATAGCCTTCTCACGTTTCATAACTTTTGGCAAAAGTATAATCAAATAGATAAAACGAGAGAAAAATAATGTAATCAAACCATAAATTACCAACTGCTTACAAAAATGAGGAATTTAACCTTTAAATATTTTTAAAAAGCAAATATAATTTATTATTTTTTTTACCTGTTAATAAGAGCTTTTTGCTTATAATATCAATATTTGCATATTAATACAATATATTAATTTTTACATTTAAATTTTTATTTAAAATTTGTTTATAAATATTTGATTTTTTTTATTTAAAAATAGAAAAAACCTTTATACAACAGGCCTAATTCCATTTTATAATATGATAAATTATTATGAGAGCTCAATAATTGAGTACTTTGTTCAAACAGTCTCATAATGAGTGGCATGATTTCGAAATCAGCTTAGGTATAAACGTAGTTGCTTAAATATTTCAATAAATACCTCAATTAGTGGTTATACAATGAAAAAAGCTATCTAAATTATTTTGCTAGTCGTGTATCATGTTATCTCAAATTAAGTATCATGCGTTTTACCTCCATATTAATTTACCTTATTGTTTATCCTCAGCGGCTTTTGTTTTAGCTTTTGGAAAACGGGCAAAATAAACTTGGCGTGTGTTGTTTCTGCGCGATCTCACCCTACTTTCCTCTCATTACACGGCGGGCGCGTGTTCTTTGTGTTTCGGAGCTCATTAATTAATTCGCGACGTTAACGTCAAATTGGACAAAACGCGCGTGTAATACCCGCGGGAGGAGTACAAAAGCCGCGCAGGCAGATCCATCCCCATTAGGCCTTTGTTTCCAGAGAGCAGCCACAAAAGCGCGCCGGCGAATTTCGTATAACTGCATGAATAACGAAAATTGCGGCTGTGGATGTGTTTGCACGTCTCAGTCTGCGCAGAGACCTATCCTAATAATAAATACCTCTGCGATGTGTGTTGACATTTCGTCGGCGCTCACTTTCCGATTCGCCCCCTAAATAACACAAAGGCGTGCAGTATAATGGAACACGAGAATCCCATCCTCTGTGCTTGTGTGCCCAGACAAAGCCTTCCTGCGTGGATTTGCGAATTTGCTGCCGCGTGTATTACGTATGTGATGTCGCAAAATGTGTGTGTGTATATTTGTGCTAGAGAGGAGCGAGAGTTACTTCCTCGCTTGCGCTTTATTTGCTCGAGTTACTCGCTCTCTCAAATTCACCAAAGCGATGTTGAGCCGCGGCAAAAGCAAAAAGCACGTATATAGCAACCGGGGTTGAATTTCCATAGCGAGAGATGGAGGAGGATATGCCCATTAAAATTTAACACCCACGAACCAGTTTTATATTTTGGAATTTGCAGAATACTGATAAATGGCCTCAGATTTTGTGCGCTCTTGTCAACTTTTATGAGAGATTATTCCAAATATTAGGTTCGACTCAAAACTGCGTAATTGACTATAATGAAGGCAAAATAAAAATGGTATATATTTTCATAAAAAATTGTATTAATTTTCCAGTAAAATTATTTATTTAAAAAATTCACCCTTTCAGAGGATTTTAAATGAATTTTAATTAATAATCAATTAATTGTTATTATATTTATATATTTTAATTTAATGTAAATATTAAATAAAAAACTAAAATAATTATCTTATTCTGTCATACGGTTACGGTCCAAAATGGGCATCCAGGCATGCTGATGTTTGTTATAATTTTATGTTCACCGAAAAAGGAAAAAAAATCATGGCGAAAATTCTCCTCGGCTTGTCGCACCGAGCGAAAATTTAGTGTCGTTTATAAATTCCACGCGACACGACGCGCACATTTTAATAATTTATGAACTCGGCGCCTCGTGCACCGCACCATCAGCACAGTTTTTCCCTCTCGAAAAACTAAAATTCTCGTCGTCAAAACTCGCGAAATTTATTTTCCGGCAGCAAGCGCCCAGGAAAAATGTGAAAACGATTATTTTTGGCAAAGGACCCTCTATTAATCGGCGGCCCCTTTTGATGGAGAGCGTCGTTCGCCGAAGATCCAATTTATCCGCAGCGTCAACCCCTCTCAGCAGAGCAAGTGCGCGCCGATGAAAGGAGCAATTGGCGCCTCGGGGACCCGCGAAAGGAAAATCAACCGCTTTTCATGCGTCGCGCCGGTCGCCATGGCGACGCTTGCGATTTCTTTCTTCCTCTCCGATCGACGGGCAGGCACAAGGACAATCGGCGAATTAATTAATCCGAGAAAGAGAGGCGAAAAAAGCGGATAAGGGGGCGCCCATTCATAAATTGCGCGTCAGTCGGTCGGTTAATTTATCGCTCCGTGTTTATTACGTCGCGGTCGGCCGCGGGTGTTGGTAATTTATCGCGGGCTAGCGTATAATTTCATTATTATATACACGAGCACGTTTTTAATAAATACATATTTTTCCAATTTGATGATGAAGCGGCTATGTCTATTTGCTCAAAGCCAGCCACTCCATTAGCCGCCCGCGTGTCGAGTGCACCGGATGAAAATTAATTAGCGGCCGGCGTGCAGAAATTATTATTGAAAATGGCTTTTTCTTTTTTTTCCAAATGAGCCTTGCGCAAAAAGTTGATTAAAGCATTAGGCGAAGGCAAACACACACAATACACGCGAGAGCAACTTAATGGGCTTCTACTTCTTATTTGCCTTGCGCTCCAATTACACGCAAAGGCAAACAAACTGCTTTGGCAGCTGCTGGTGCCGCTTCAAACGCCCAAATCGTCGTCTCTGAGGGTTTTCGCGCGCCTCTCAGAAATTTCGTCTTGGCGCAAACAATTCGACTGTAATTTCTGGTGGAAGGAAACCGTTTTGGAGAGTCAAACTGCGAAAGAAAAATAAAATTGTGAACTATAAATTTTGTTAAGAAAGTCTTGTGGGCTCACAAGATGTATTCATATCTGGATATATAATCTAGATAGTAATTTAATTAACACAAATAAATTCAATCAAAATTTTCTAATGATAAAAATGTATGTAATTATAATAATTTAAAGTCAATCAAATTAAATAGAGGCCATAGGTGAGTTGCCAAAATAAACAATTTCAGGGAGGATTTAGAAAATATCACTTAAATTAAAATTGCAATATATTATTTTTGTACAAAAATTTACCATGATGTAACATGATGTTTTTATTAATTTATTTATGTATATAGCACCAGTATAAATATATCACATATTTACCTATTAAACAATTGAGTAAAAATATTTTATTTTAAAATTTTTTATAAGGATCGAGTTTGTATTATTATTTTACATCAGATACAAATAATATTTTTAAATTCTTTTCCATCTTATTATTTTGTTTTTGGATGCTTCTCATGAAAATGATTTGATTTTGTTGACGTCGCTTTTCATTGTTTCTGCGCAGCGAAAAATGAAACACGGCACAATACCGAATTTCTCACTCGTGCTCACAATATATTAATAATCTGGTCTGCTGATTCCCCCATTGTTTACATTCATCATCATCAGCCACCCAACCAGCGGAAAATAATGCAATGAGAAAAAAATGAACAATATAAAATAAACCGGCTCCAAAATGCATTATACACATATTTTCCGTCGCTGAATTAATTTCCCGAGCACTCTGTGCACATTTTTTCCACACCACGACTGGGAAAACCTCGGCGGGCATTGTGTGCGGGAAACACCGCATCATAAAAGGGTGAAAATAATAACCGTGTTGCGAAATTAAAAAAAATCCCCACGCCGAATTCCGACTGCTGGTTGAAAAGAGCGGCATTGGTATATAGTGCTGTTGGGGTTTCAATGAACGCGGCACAATAATACAAAAAAACAGGGTGTGCATGGATTTCAATTACATAACGTCGCGCCAAGCGCGCACTTTTAACGAGAGCTTTTGCAATTTTATTGTTGCTGGTGCTGTTATTTTTGCGTGCAATCACGATATGAAAAGCAACTCGGATCGGTCGGCGTGAAAATAAATTCAGCAACGCGTGGTGTTGATTGCACGTGCGATGCTTGATGAAATTCTGCGGCAGTGGCAAATTGATCCCCAACACTTGCTGATGGAAAATGGGAAACAAGTTATGAAGGAGGCAAAACTCTATCAAGGAGATGAAAACTTTCAAAAATAATCCAGAAAAATTGCTATTATGCTCTTTTTAATTATTTTAATTCATTACATATTTCCATCTGCGAATCCTAACGCATATTATTGTGAAAAAAATAATATGCTTGTGATAAAATTAAATTTTATTCTAAAAGTTGACGAAAGCTGATTGATATTCCCAATCGACCAAAGCTCCGTTCGGAAATCTGTGCTTTGGCAGCCGCAGTGCCAGCAGTCAGCTTGTCTGTGCTGTGTGTGTTTGGTAGGAATTTGATTCAAAAACGCTAGCGCGTCAATTCCTCGTCGGTTTGGTCGACAGGCTGCATTTCATCGTCGATGGGGAGCAAGTCGAGCTTGAAATTAGTTTGCCAACTCGAATGTGAGTGTGTGCGCA